TCAACACAGTACTAGAATTCCTAGCCACAGCAATCAGACAATAAAAAGAAATAAAAGGCATCTGAATCGGCAAAGAAGAAGTCAAACTCTCACTCTTTGCAGATGATAGGATACTTTATGTGGAAAGCCCAAAAGACTGCACCCCAAAACTGCTAGAACTCATACAGGAATTCAGTCAAGTGGCAGGATATAAAATCAATGCACAGAAATCAGTGGCATTCCTATACACGAAAAACAAGACAGAAGAAAGAGAAATTAAGGAATCGATCCCATTTACAATTGCACCCAAAACCATAAGATACCTAGGAATAAATCTAACCAAAGAGGCAAAGGATCTGTACTCAGAAAACTATAAAATACTCATGAAGGAAATTGAAGAAGACACAAAGAAATGGAAAAACGTTCCATGCTCATGGATTGGAAGAACAAATATTGTGAAGATGTCAATGCTACCTAGAGCAATCTACACATTTAATGCAATCCCTATCAAAATACCATCCACTTTTTTCTAAAAATGGGACAAATAATCCTAAAATTTGTATGCAACCAGAAAAGACCCCAAATAGCCAGAGAAATGTTGAAAAAGAAGCAAAGCTGGTGGCATCACAATTCCAGACTTCAAGCTCTATTAGAAAGCTGTAATCATCAAGACAGTATGGTACTGGCACAAAAAAGGACACATCGATCAATGGAACAGAATAGAGAACCCAGAAATGGACCCTCAACTCTATGGTCAACTAATCTTCGACAAAGCAGGAAAGAATGTCCAATGGAAAAAAGACAGTCTCTTCAACAAATGGTGTTGGGAAAATTGGACAGCCACATACAGAAGAGTGAAACTGGACCATTTCCTTACACCACACACAAAAATAGACTCAAAATGGATGAAAGACCTAAGTGTGAGACAGGAATCCATCAAAATCCTAGAGGAGAATACAGGTTGCAACCTCTTTGACCTCAGCTGCAGCAACTTCTTCCTAGAAACATTGCCAAAGGCAAGGGAAGCAAGGGCAAAAATGAACTACTGGGACTTCATCAAGATAAAAAGCTTTTGCACAGCAAAGGAAACAGTCAACAAAACCAAAAGACAACCGACAGAATGGGAGAAGATATTTGCAAATGAGATATCAGATAAAGGGCTAGTATCCAAAATCTATAAAGAACTTCTCAAACTCAACACCCAAAGAACAAATGATCCAATCAAGAAATGGGCAGAAGACATGAACAGACATTTTTCCAAAGAAGACATCCAAATGGCCAACAGACACATGAAGAAGTGCTCAACATCGCTCGGCATCAGGGAAATCCAAATCAAAACCTTAATGAGATACCACCTCACACCAGTCAGAATGGCTAAAATTAACAAGTCAGGAAACAATAGGTGTTGGCGAGGATGTGGAGAAAGGGGAACCCTCCTACACTATTGGTGGGAATGCAAGCTGGTGAAGCCACTCTGGAAAACAGTATGGAGGTTTCTCAAAAAGTTGAAAATAGATCTACCCTACGACCCAGCAATTGCACTAGTGGATATTTACCCCAAAGATACAAATGTAGGGATCCGAAGGGGTACGTGCATCCCCATGTTTATAGCAATATCCTTAATAGCCAAACTATGGAAAGAGCCAAGATGTCCATCAACAGATGAATGGATAAAGAAGATGTGGTATATATGTACAATGGAATATTATGCAGCCATGAAAAACAAAAACAAAAACAAAAACAAAAAACCCCGAAATCTTGCCATTTGCAGCAACATGGAGAGAACTAGAGGGTATTATGCTAAGCAAAATAAGTCAATCTGAGAATGACAAGTATCATACGATCTCACTGATATGAGGAATTCATAATCTCAGGGAACAAACTGAGGGTTGCTGGAGTGGTGGGGGGTGGGAGGGGTGGGATGGCTGGGTGATGGACATTGGGAGGGTATGTGCTATGGTGAGCGCTGTGAATTGTGTAAGACTGATGAGTCACAGACCTATACCTCTGAAACAAATAATACATTACATGTTAAAAAAAAAAAAGAAGATAGTAGGAAGGGAAAAATAAATGGGGGAAATTGGAAGGGGAGACGAACCATAAGAGACTATGGACTTTGAGAAACAAACTGAGGGTTTTAGAGGGGAGGGGGGTGGGGGGATGGGTTAGCCCGGTGATGGGTATTAAGGAGGGCATGTATTGAATGGAGCACTGGGTGTTATATGCAAACAATGAATCATGGAACACTACATCAAAAACTAATGATGTAATGTATGATGGCTAACATAACATAATAAAATTAAAAAAAAATTTTTTTTATTTAAAAAAAAAATAAATATTACACACACTTTATCTTTTTAAATACTAGTTTCTCCTAAGATTAATACCATTAAAAATATCCAGAGCTGAGATGCCTAATCAGCACTCTTGTCTTTTGTGAATGTAAACTCTAGAATTAAATTCATCAAGTCCGTGGGTTGTGCAATTAAAATACTATGGAAATTTGGAAAAGGTTCAGTTTACTCATACTTACTAAAGAATCTTTAGAGCTTCAATAGTACTTGGTAAAGGGGATGAAGTATTCTAAAATGAAGGGAATGGATGGTATATTCACACTACTTCAATTCAGGAAGGGAATAGACAATCAGATTTATTCAGTAATTTCCATTTCTAGCCACTATGCATTTTGTCCACATTATACATACATTAAGAATATTTGCTCAAAAACTAGGATTTTGGGGGCACCTGGGTGGTTCAGTCAGGTAATTGCCCAACTCTTGATTTTGGCTCAGGTCATGATCTCAGGGTCATGGGACTGAGCCCCACATCAGGCTCTGCACTCAGCAGGGAGTATGCTTCTCTCCCTCTCCCTTTGCCCCTGCTCTCTCTCTCAAAATAAATAAATAAATCTTTAAAAAAAAAAATCTTTAAAAATCCTTTAAAAAAAGGATTTTAATTTTACAAAATCTTTCCTGTTGTTTACCTATTTAACAATGACAGCCATAAGACCATAAATGAAATCATCATTATACATGGCTAATTTTGCAAAAACCTTGGACTTGAAGGCAGGCACATATATAAATAAGTATGAGATCAACTGTAATTTTAAAAAAAGATCTCATTCTCAAATGGATGCCTTTAATAACTGCACCTAGATCAATGTGTTAATTGACTCCATGGGAGAAATCCTTTCATGCTGTATATCAAATCGTCCTGTTGTACCATTAAAATATCTTACCATGTTATTTGCCAACTAGTCCTCAAGAAGGCTGGAAAAAAAACAATTGTACCTAAACAACTTGAATAATATTACAACTTTTTAATGAGTTATATTCAACTAAAATTAACAGGATTTCTACATCTTCCTAAAACCTATTTCTATTAATCCCAATCTTGCTGCAAACACAAAGAATTTCGAAGAGCATACTAAAAAAAATAGACAAGTTCATTTTTATATGTGGTAAAAAGCATCTTTTTTAAAAAGCTCATTAAGGCAGGGATTAACAACTAACTTTTTTTTAAAAGATATTTATTTATTATTTATTTATTCATTTTAGAGCCAGAGAGAGAAAGCACATGTGAGAATGGGAAGGGGCAGAGGGACAGGCAGAGAGAGAAACTCAAGCAGACCCCACACTGAGTGCAGAGCCCAATCTGGGGCTCAATCTCACAAACCTGAGATCACAACCAGAGTCGAAACCAAGAGTCGGACGCTTAACCAACTGTGCCAGTCAGGCGCCCCACAACTATCTTTTCACTTTAATCCTAACCTGTCCCCTTTCATCGAAGCACATGGGCACTTCTCTGCTTTCTCAGTTAGTGCCATTGTATTTTCACAGTAATGTCTCAGGCTAGGGAATTCTGATACCATAATCCAAGAGGCCAAACTCCCATGTCATCAACATAGCTGCCAACGTTCAGAGAACTTGCTCTGGGCATCCTGTTCATTGATTTAGGAAATCCCATTTCAAGAGAATCTTGCCTCATAAATCAGTTTTGATCTTCTCATTCCCAACGTTACCAAAAAATCTTTGGTTATAGTGGCCTAATTTCTGAGTCTAGAATAAACACTCACTCAAACCCTGCATCCTCAACCCACCTGTTTTACCTTTAAATTTCATTAAGCCTTTTAGTACCTTTTCACTGAAACTAATATATCCTAGATATGGTTAGGAAGAAGCATATAAAGCCTCAGGAAATTTCCCAATTAAGTGCAACTTTACTTTTTTGCTTAAACAACCTGCAAAACGTTTTGCCAAGAGTTCAAGGAAACATCCTATAATATAACTACCTTCTGAAGAAAAAATTATATCCATGCTTTAAAACAAATAACATTACAGCAATAACACTGCTACATTAAACTACTTAAACTAATGATGGCTAAGCTATACCAGGAACTTGCTTGGGTTTCATTCATTCATTTATTTATTCATTTATTCAACAAATACCTCTTGAGTGTCTATTACATGGCAGGTCCAGTCTCTGGGGAAATAGCACAGAATACGCAGCAAGACCACTGTTCTCATGGACTTTACAGTCTAATCCAGTAAAGGTGGCAACAAATAAATAAATAACGAAGAAAATATTAGCAAGAATTTTCTAGATGTTGATAGAAAATGGCTGGGAGGCTACACTAGATGGGGCGGTCAGGGAAAATATTTCCGAGGAAGAGGAGGAAATGATTGGGAAGCAGCACTGGGAAACACAGAAGACACACCCACCTTTCCTACAGGGCCTGAGACATGTGGGTTAGCAACAGAAAAAAATTTTTTCCTCCAGAAGGTTCCTGGGAGGTAGTGTTATTGAATGGTAGTCACATTTCAGTCAGGTTTTACAAGAAGGTAAAGAGAACAATCAGAGAATAGGCTGAGAGTATGTGAAATTTACTGAGGAGATCCCGAGTTCCCAGGAGCACAGAGGAAAAGGTTGAACTCGTGAGACTGATAATTTCTTTTTTTATTAAAAAAATTTTTTCGAGGTTAATAAGTAATTTCTGAAGTATTACCTGTTTATCACCTTACCTGTGTTTCCTTTTGCAATACACCAGAAGATTATCAAAAAGAAAAAACACCCGTTCTTGAATATTTCCAGAAGAAATTTTCAATAAGACGCCACACATTAGCATCTCAGTGCAGGTGTCGGTGACGTTGGATCCCTAGGTCAAAAAAAAAAAAAAAAAAATGGAGACAATGTTTGATTACTTAACAGAAACTTCTGTGTGTAATTCTACTTCTCCTTAAAAGTCTGTTTGTTTTTATTTCAAGATACAATATATGGACAGAAGTTGAAACACCATAAATATTTATACATTGGATGGAGGTCTCCTTGCCTCCCAGACTCCTGGTCAGTCTGAGCAGATACAACTGTGGCTAAGAGATTCTGTGTCTTCTTTTAGCTTTCTTACACATGTATGCATACATAAACATGGATGATACATGTTACTATGTTCTTTTAAAAGGAGATGATTTCAAAGTGATGCATAACATTCATGTCCCTAGTACTCCTCTCCTTCTCCTCTCTTTCCCTGGTATGGGAAAAGAGTTCCATGGATACATCACAAAGTACACGAAGTTCTCTAAATTTTTAGCGGGTCTCAATTTATTTATCCACTCCTAGGATTGATAGGAAGAAAAAAGAAGAAATTAAAGGGGGGGAAAAAACTATTTAAAGAGAGCAACCTTCCATAGTCTTTTACCCAAGTTAAAAGTTAGCATAGGCATGCTCATTCATTAAATAAGCCTTCACTGATTGCACACTAAGGTCAGATGATTAGTGACAAAACTGGGTCTTAACACAAGCGCTAACCATTGAGAGGAGCCACAAGATGGAAGGAGCCTGAATCGCAAACAGAGGAAAGGTGCACAATGAAGCAGAGCACAAGCATTGGATTGTTGTGTGAGCTGATCAAAAACATCTAATTTGAGCCATTATAAATGTGGCCGTCTATTTGTCTCTACAACCTAAACTATCACAACTAATGCACTGAGTTAGACAAAAAAGAAAAAAAAAAGTTTTACGTAGATAGCTGTTAAGTATGCTCTGCAAGAATACTTCTATTTTCATTATGTCTGGGGATTCTTAAATCCAGGGATAAATTTCTGACTCTTTTTAAACTTAATGCTTTTATTTTTTATTTTTGATATTTAACAATCAGACCATTAATTTCGTACTTCCACAGTAATCATTGATAATAGTTTTTCTGATTGATTATAAAAATTTAAATTATGGTGACAACTGATAACTGTCAATAAGAAACTTCCCAAATTGGAAATTAAACGAATGTGATTGTGTTGAGTGTCTATATTACACACACATTTTATTTATTTTTTATTTTTTTATTTTTTACTAACTTTATTTTTTTAAAGATTTTATTTATTTATCTGTCAGAGAGAGGGGGGAGAGAGAGAACACAAGCAGGGGGAGCAGTAGAGGAGGGGGAGAAGCAGACTCCCCGCTGAGCAGGGAGCCCAACGTGGGGCTCGATCCCAGGACCCCGGGATCATGACCTGAGCCGAAGGCAGACGCTTAACCGACTGAGCCACCCAGGCATCCCTACGTACACATTTTATTTTTTGTTTTTATGTTTAACTTAAGTGTTTTGTTTTATTAAGTTTTTTTATTTTAATTCCAGGAGAGTTAACATACAGTGTTATACTAGTTTCAGGTGGCACAATATAGTGACTCAGCGATTCCATACCTTATTCAGTGCTCATCATGATAAGTGTACTCTTAATCCCCTTCACTTCTTTCACCTATCCCCCCACCCACTCCCCTCTGGTGACCAGCCATTATAAAATATTTTAGATTTAAGACATTTCCTTTCTTTTTTTTCTTTCATCACAAAGGTGGACATATAATTAGAGATCTATTAAAAATTTACACAATTTCATATCCTTCATCATGTGATAATTAAGTAAAAACTGTCATCAAATTTGAATATAAATCCCAATTTCAGTGGCAACGATTTCTTATTTAAATACTATCCCTACCTCAGAAAAAAATTAAGATAGAATAGTATTAAAAATGTAAACAAGGAAACATCACATTGATTCTTGCACAGGGAACTATACGATGTTATGAAAGTGGCTTTACTGGTAACAATTTTACAAAAGGTACAAAATACTTCACCTTAGACTATTTCTCATAGTAGCCCAAAAAAGTAAAGCAAAGAAGCTAACTTATCTTATTAAATGGTAACTGCAGATGTTTTTCTAATTTGCATATTAACCAGTCTTCCAAGTAAGTTCCCAATATAATTATAGGTAGGTATTAGTAGATGTCTTCCTACTTGACAAAAATCTTTTTTTTTTTAAAGATTTTATTTATTTGAGAGAGGGAGAGAGCGAGCAAGCACGAGTGGTGGGGAGGGGCAGAGGGACAGGGAGAGAGAGAAGCAGGCTCCCCGCTGAGCAGGGTGGCAGATGCACAGGGCTCGATCCAGGACCATGAAATCATGACCTGAGCCAAAACCAACTTAATCGACTGAGCCACCCAAACACCCCCATACTTGAGAGAAATCTTAACCATACATTTCCGCCTTGTTTGTGATTATAATCTTTATTAATAAATATAAGAAGAATTTAACGTAAATTAGTATAGTGGTTAGAGGTCATTTATTCCATCCCCTTAAACAGTTTCACAGGAGATATTGTTCAAGCTCTGAAGAACTCACGAGACCTAATGTGTAAAATAAAAAATAGGTATATTATTCTTGATCATAAAAATACCTGATATCCACACCGAATGTTCCCATAAGTATGGCCAACACAATCTCCCTTTGTAAACTTCCTAACTGGAAAGCTGTATTATAATCAGAAAGAATCTGACACAAGTAAAAAAAAAAACTCACAACCAGACAGTCACAGAGGAAAGGACACGATTGCTGACCACCACTGAGAGTTTGACCACTGACCATACCCCGGGGCCTTTTCCCTGTCTTTGTCTTCCTGTGACCTGTCTGCATGTTATTTGAATTGCTCTCCACCGTCAAATTCTTGTTTGTTCATATCTTTTATCTTGTCAGTGCCACCAACACTTTCTAATGAAGTCACGCTTCCTAATGAAGTCACGCTTCCCAGTTAAGAAAAACTGTCTCCTGTCCTGTGAACAGACTGAATTGAAGAGCAGGGCCATGCTAGCTAGCTAGCTTCCCATAGGTCAGGTGTTGGAGAGACTGAGCACTGCCCGTCAGCAGCTGTATCTTTGATTTCTAATAAAAAAGCCAATTTTATAGCAGGAAGCTTGCTCAGACGGTCGCATTAGACAAGTCAGAGGCATGCCTGGACTATTAGAGGAGGGCCTTCAACAGAACGTATAGATGGGGCTGCAGTTGTTCATTTATATACCAAGAGGAGAGAGGGAGGGAGAGAGAGAGAAAGAGAGAGAGCAGAAAAAAGGTAGGAAGGAAGCGGGGAGGGCGGGGAGGATATCTTGGTGAACTAGACTTAAGAATTAGAGCAGTTTGAAAGCAAAGAGCTAGCACAATCTACCACCGGGACAAGACCATCCAAAGTCTATCTGTCTCACTGTGTGTCTCTCTCTCCTTGCTCTCTCTTTTCTCAGCTTCCACTACAAACAAATCACATTTCTGAATGACTCCTTTGATTCTGTAGCTATGTTCATGCCTTCTAACCAACGTAGAAGGGTGCCTGGGTGGCTCAGTTGGTTAAACGACTGCCTTCGGCTCAGGTCATGATCCTGGAGTCCCGGGATCGAGTCCCGCATCGGGCTCCCTGCTCAGCGGGGGGTCTGCTTCCCCCTCTGCCCTCTTCCCTCTTGTGCTCTCTGTCTCTCATTCTCTCTCTCTCAAATAAATAAATAAATAAATCTAACCAACGTAGAAAAGGAAAATAGTACTTAATTTATTCACAGAATTAACAGACAATATATATAAAACTCCCAGCACAATGCCTAGCACAGAAAAGGACTCAATAAAGGCTAGTACAATTAACATTGCTGGTTTTAAAGATGATTTTCTTCTTCAAGGAGACTTCACTTATTTCTGACCTCTGCTGTGGTTCACTCTATGTTGATTTTTATGCTTTAACTCGTTGAAGACAGTGTTATTTCTGATTCTCTAGTTTTTGAGGGTAGACACATCTTGTTGCCTCAGAGAACACTGACTTTTGCCCTGACAAAAAAAGGCCTTCTAGCCTATTCTTGAAAACTTCTAGTAAAATTAAGTTCATTCCCTCTTAAGAAAGCTATTTCTTTACTTAGCCACTCTACTTAGTAGAAAGATTTTTCTAATCGTAGAACCAAATTCTACTTCCCTTTCTACTCACTGACTCTACTTCTGCCTCCTGGGAGTAGAGGAATACCCTCTTCATTATGACAGACCTGGCCCTCCAGTATCTGAAAACAGCCAGTACACTTCCCTTCTGCCTTCCAAGCTAGATAACTAGCATTGCTTTTGACCATTCATCCTATGGCTTGATTTGAGAAACCTGCAAGATCCCTGAAGTCCTCCTCTGAACCTTCTCCAGTTTGTCAGGGTCTCCCTTAATATGGAACACCTCTAGAAGTGAGCACAACCACTCGGATGTGAGCTGGCAAATAAATCAGATAGTGATTTATTTATTTATTTATTTATTTATTTATTTATTTATTTATTTATTTTATTATTACTCCAGTCCCCTACAATACGTATCTTGATACCATAAGATTATATTAGCACATTTATGGCAATCCCATCTTACAATTAATTCAAAGTGCTCCATTAGTCAGCAAAGCATCTCAATCATTTTCCTCTATCGTATACTTAAATAGTTTGACTTTTGAATGATTGAGCAAAATCATTGAGCAAACTCTCAAACCCCTCACTAATATATAAATACATTGTGTTTTGGGGCACCTGAGCCGGGGCACCCACTCAGTCGGTTAAGCATTTGCCTTCAGCTCAGGTCATGATCCCAAGGTCCTAGGATGGAGCCCTGTGTCAGGTTCCCTGCTCAGTGGGGAGCCTGCCTCTCCCTGCCCACCACTCATGCTCTCTCTCGCTATCTCTCTCTCAAATAAATAAAAATTTTTTAAAAATCTTTAAAAAAGGGGGCTCCTGGGTGGCTCTCCGTTGGTTAAGCAACTGCCTTCGGCTCAGGTCACGATCCCGGAGTCCCAGGATCGAGTCCCGCACTGGGCTCCCTGCTCAGCAGGGAG